AGTTATTAAAAAAGTGAAATAATAAATGTGTATTGTTTTAAGACTCTAAGTTGGTCATTTATTATGCAACAATAAGGACTAATTCAGGCACATAGAATAAATGAGTAGAAAAAAATAAATTAAGTGATGCATTTTAAATAAATATACTAACAATTATATTTAATGTACATCAATAAGGGTACCTGATCTCAAACCAGGCAAGATGGGGACCAAAGAGAGTCCAAACTTTACCTGTATGATGACTGTTTGTATACCTAATCCTGAATTGCATCACACATCTTTAAAATAAAATTTAAAAATTACATTTAATGTATAAAATGAATGTTTTATTATTAAACTGTATTATCAGACTGGATTTGAACACTAGCAGGACAAATATTTTATAATTATACTGATGTTTAGATATTAGAATAATACAAATTACTTGAGATAAAGAGAAAAAATTTATAATAAAAAGTCAGTTTGTCAGGAAGATAACAATTTTAAATTTGTATGCACCTAAAAACATAACCACAAAATATATTTTAAAAATATAACAATCAAAAGGAGAAATAGACAAATCCATAATCATAGTGGGAGAGTTTAATGTACCTTACTCCCAAACAGATAAATAATTAATAATACAAAAAATAATAATCAGATAAATAATGAATGATTCAAATAAATTTCAAGATAAATTAGAAAATATTTTGATTGAAATTTAATACATTATGAAAACTAAGTAAATGAAAAAGCGAGATAATTATTAACTAGCATAGATTTTAGCAAAATTTTTCTGTAAATGGTCAGAGAGCAATATTTTCAGTTTTGTGGACCATATGGTTCGTATCACAACTACTCAATTCTACCATCATAGCACAAATGCTTCCACAGACAGTAAGTAAATAAATGAGCATAACTGCGTTTCTATAAAACTTTACTTGAAAGAAAAAGTGATAGACTAGATAAGGCCTACTTTGCTGACTAAAAGAAAAACTAAAATTTGAATAAAAAGAAATATAACCAGAGTATATTTTTAGCTCAGCAGTGAACAATACTTAGTCTTAATATTGCAAACTCTGACTATTGACTTAAGCAAAAAGTGTAATATAGTTATAATAAGAGTGGAGATGAAAAAAGAGCAAACTCTTAACTATCAAGCAAGAAACAAACTGCTTAATTTATAAATCAAGAGAGTGCTGGAAAAAAAACTTGAAAAAGTTTAAAGTGACTATCTCTGGGTAGTGTGCTTATAAAGAGGAAAGAAAGGAAGCTGCTGTTTTTTTATCATTTGTATTATTATTATTATTATTTCATGTGCATTTATTACTTAAATAAAAATAATTTTACATGATGTAAATGAGAGGGAGAGTGAGAGAGATCATTGCAATAAAAACACCCAAATGAATCAGGATTGTGTTTATACTCCTTGGCATTATACCCTTTCCTTCCAGCAAGAGGTGGAGTCTACGTCTCCACCCTCTTAATCTGGTTTGGCTTCATGACTTGCTTTAATCAATAGTATATTTAGGGATCGGAACAGAAGGCATGCTACAGTTACTGATACACGGAAATTTTGAAATCCAACTAAGGACAACTTCTCAGGTCCTCTTGCTCTAGGGGCAGAACATTTTCCTTGATTAGGCCTGACTCTACAATTTGGCAGTTGTTCCCTTATTCACCACCCTTGAAGCCAACTTCTAGGCTCTTGGCTCTGCCCTCTGGATCATGCTTCTCTTTCTATTAGAAATCACCCATGTTGAGTTCAATATTTGAAGCTAAAAAGTTTCTTCTTAGAAAAAAAAAAAATGTGCACATCCTCTGTGCCAGCAATTCTGCTTTCAGGAATGTACCCAATGGACCTACTTACACATTATGTACATATATGTATGTATCTATTTATTTTTGTTTTTTGTTTGTTTGGTTTTCTGTTTTTGTAAGTCAGGTCTCACTCTGTCACCCAGGCTGGAGCAGTGGCACAATCACAGCAACTGCAGCCTCAACCTGATGGCTCAGGCAATTCTTCTACCTCAGCCTTCCAAGTAGCTGGGATTACAGGCACACTCCACCACATCTAGCTAATACTTTGACTTATTGTAGAAAGGAGATCTTGCCATGTTGCCCAGGTTGGTCTCCAAATTTGGGACTCAGGCACTCTTCTCACCTCGGCCTCCCAAAGTACTGGGATTACAGCCATGAGCCACTGCACCTGGCCCATGTGTGTATTTAGTTACAATTGTGTAACATTAAAAAAAAAAAGCTAGAAATAATATAAGTCAATTAATGGGTGTCTGGTGTAGATCACTGTAGTGACTGACACATAATAGAAGCTTAATTAATATTTTTAATAAATGAATGTCTTGCTTATACAAAGAAATGCCTTGCAGCTATTTAAAAGAATAAGGTAAATCTACATGTTTCAATGTGGAAAATGACTCCAATATGTGTGTAAAGTGAAAGTAAGGAAGTTATATGATAGTATTTTTGTATTAAAATGTATATGTATATACATTTCTACATGCATAAAACATATCTAAAACAATATGCCCTCACCTTTAAGAATTGATATTGGGTCTAAGGAAAATGAGTGCTGCTGGGAGGGGATTTTAATTTTTGTTTTATACTCTCCTATATTGCTTGCCTTTGAACTCCTAAAGGAGTTTGCATTTATTTATTTTTTCATAACTAGCTTGTATAACTTTAATATATATGTGTATAATATGTGTGTGTATTTACATATATGCTTTTTTTCTTTTAAGAGAGCATACCACACAGAACAACCAAGAATGATCACAGGCGAACATCGGTCCTGTCTTGGTCCCAGTTCCATTTCTTTTTTATTTTTATTTATTTTATTTATTTTTTATTTTTATTTTTGAGTTGGAGTCTCACTCTGTCCCCAGGCTGGAGTGCAGTGGCAAGCTCATGGCCACTGCAGCCTCAACCTGCTGGGGTTTAGGCAGTCCTTCCACCTCAGCCTTCCAAGTAGTTGTAATTACAGGTGCACACCACCACACCTGGCTTTTTTGTTGTTGTTGTAGAGTTGAGGTCTCACCAAATTGTCCAGGCTGGTCTCAAACCCATGAACTCAGGCAATCCTCTTGCCTCAGCCTCCCAAAATTCTGGGATTACAAGCTTGAGCCACTATGCCTGGCCCCCAATTCCATTTCTAATTCTTTTTTTTTTTTTTTTTTTGAGTTGTAGTCTCACTCTGTCGCCCAAACTGGAGTGCAGTGGCCGCTCCTGGCCACCGCAGCCTCGACCTGCTGGGCTCCAGCGATCCTTCCACCTCAGCCTTCGAAGTAGCCGGAATTACAGGCGCGCGCTACCACGCCCAGGTAATTTTTTTTTTAATTTATTGTAGAGATGAGGTCTCGCCTGTCCAGCAGGTCTCGAAGCCGCGGGCTCAGGCAATCCACTCACCTCTGCCTCCCAAAGGCGCGGGATTACAGGCTGAGCCACTGAGCCTGGCCCATTTCTAATTCTTTAACTCCTTCAGTGAGGGGCATGAAAGGCTCTGAAATTGAGCTTACCAAAGAAATGTAGAATATTCTTCATATTTTGAGAGCTACACTTGACCTTATGTTTAAAACCGGTAAGTTATTAACTATTTAATGGACAAGTTGACACACACCTAAAAACAAATGACAGAACTAAGTCTTAAATCTTCAGAAAATCTTCCTTAAGTCTCCAGGAAATCATCAACAATGAAAAAATGGTTGACAGAGTAGTTGTGATTTTAAACCCTAAATCAACAGAAAAAGATCAGGAACTCAAGTTGGTCCTTTTTAGCTCCAAGATATTATTTAAGGGAAAATATTTCAATATTACTTCCTCAATCTAGCAGAGTCTCTAAATAAAGATAAGATTCATTCATTCATCAGATAGAATGAGGCTTGTTAACACTGCTTGCTAAAGAACCTCCTTAGTGTGTCAAACCTGCCAGAACAGCTTCCTTCCTCTCCTTTCACTCAATTTTAATAAAGGCAAATCTCACCACAAAGAAACACCTGTTGTTTCTAAGCAGCCATGTAAAATAAAGGGAATCATGAGGCTAAAGTAAAGATTTTTAAAAACACACAAGTTTTTATGACAAAATCAAAACCATCTCCCTTAGAACAAAAGAAGTAATGATAAGTATTTAAACCGGCAATTAAAAGGTCATATTTTCAGCTAAAAGGAAAAAATAAACATGAATAAAGGGCAATGATTTATTAAAGTCCTTAAAAGGTAAATGTTCCTTCACACACCAAAAAAAAGTCAAACTAAAATCCTAGTGATTTTTAATGGGGAAAGATGGGAGGTATAATATTTAATGCATATTTCAAAAATAATCAGTAATATTTAGTCATTTATTCAAAATTTTCTGTAAATGTTGTATAACATTAAAGAAGAGTATGAAATTTTTGTATTCATTAAGAAGGAGATCAGGCTTGGTGACTCAGCCTGTAATTCCAGTACTCTGAGAGGCCAAAGCCAGTGACCTGAGCCCACAGGTTTGAGACCAGTCCAGCCAACTTGGAGAAACTTCGTCTCTACAGTAAATAAAAAAAAATATTAACCAGGCATGGTAGTGCGCACCTGTAGTTCCAGCTACTTGGAAGGCTGAGGAGGAAGGATTGCTGGATCCCAGCAGGTCAACGCTGCGGTGGCTGTAAGTGTGCCACTGCACTATAGCCTGAGCAATGGGGTAAGACTCCAACGCAAAAAAAAAAAAAAAAAAAGGTTTAAAAAGTTCCACTCCCCATCTAGATCTACTAAACTAGAACCTCTGATATTCTTAAACCAACTTTTGAGAACCACTGCTATAAAACAAGTGCAATACACATCACACCAACACAATATGTGAATGTTTAAAATAAATTATTTAAACACATTTTAAACATGGATGTTTCGTAAATACTCAAAAAACAAACACCAGAAATCGTTCTTTTTGTAGTTTCATAAAGTGAATAATATTATTTAATAATATGATCATGATAATATTGCCAAAACATTTCTCATGCTGGTGTTATTAATAGATAGGAATCCCAGGCTCAAGAGAGGCAAGAAACTTTCTGAGGGTCACTGTACTGGAAGGGAAGAAAGTAGACTTTCAAATCAAGACTCTCCTGCCACGACCAAGGCATGCCCCACAGTAACACGTGGTTCCCATCAAGACGTCCAAGAACTGAAGCAGTTCTCAGGTGAGGAAGCCTGGAAGGAAAGCTCCTCTGATACCACCCTCTCTTTCCCCTGACTGTGATTCTATTTTAAGCACGTTCCTTTTCACAAATTTCTGTCTGGAGATCCCATTCCCTCTGCAGATTATGAGTGCATTCAGTCATTTATTCACGTCATGTTCTTTTTAATTTCCTCAGTACCCTGCCTAATATTCTGCACAGAGGTTAAAAAAAAAAAATCCATGAATATGTGTGCTTGGGACCACCTCTTTATGAGAATAAGTTGTTATGAAAATTAGGACTATGCCTCATCTCTTTACTTCTGGTATAGCAAACTCCTGGATGCCCCATTCTTCTGTGAAGGTTTTTGGCTAGGTGTGGTGGCTCATACTTGTAAATCCAGCACTTTGGAAGGAGAGGCGGGGATATTGCTTGAGCCCAGGAGCTCAAGAACAGCCTGGTTAACAGCAGACCTCACCTCTACAAAACATCAAAAGTTAGCTGGGCATGGTGGCATGCACCTGTAGCTATTTGGGAGGCTGTGGCAGAAGGCTCACTGGAGCCAAAAGGTTGAAGCAGCGTTAAACTGTGATTATGCCACTGTGTTCCAGCCTTGTGACAGTGAAACCCAAACTCAAAGATTAAAAATAAATAAAAATAAATAGATAAAATCTTCGGCGAAAAGTTTATATTTTTCTGATAAATAAGTAAAGCGTTCCCAAACTTGGTTATTCATCAGAAGTACCTGGGAAGCTCATTAAAAAATGAAATCCCCTGTACCCCACCTTAGATCTATTGAAACTGAACCTCTGTTATCCTTCAACCAGTTTTTGCCAACTATTGCAATAAGACACCATTAGAAATACATAAAACAATTTTTTATACTCAAGTATCTGTTCTTAGACTTTATGTGTTCAATTTGAGAGACTAATACAATTTAGTAGAATCAGAACAGATCTGTGTAGCTTGGAGCCAATCTGTCCTTGCTAGGAGCCAGGCAGAAAACCCAGTGATAAAGGAGTTAAGTTGTGCCTACCCACAAGATGGCAGAACTGTGCCCAGAGAAGAAATCAATAGTCCTAGATTAAGGAGTCAACTCTGCCCCTGTGCAAGTCCTACCAAATGCAGTCTCTCTAGGATTCTGTTGACATTCTGCTTCTTTCTGACTTAGTCTTCTTTGCATTTGGTTCTCTCTGCCTGTCCTTTACATGTGGCTGTCCTTTAGAATCCTGTCCTCAGTTACTCACTGAACTTACACTAACCTTGGCTCATCTCATTAGACCCCTGTGTCCTGAACAACCCTCTACATGCTGACATCTCCCATATCTGCATCTTCACCACTGTCCTCAGCTGCACTCTGATGGACAGGTTCCCAAACTTAGAAAAGTAAAACTTGACAGCCTTTCTTCATCATCAACCTATTTCTGCCAGTTAAAATGGAACACCTTTAACTTTTCACTGTTTTCTAGATAAAGGCAGATTGCCAGAAATAAAAAAATGGTTAAGCAAATTATGATACCCGCATATAATGGAGTATTACACAACAATCTAAAATAGTAGTTTTAAAAACTATGCAAAATATGAGGAAATAGAGCATGTTGTTATCAAAAAGAATACTAAATTTTATATCTATTTTGATTATATGGGAGACCAGAATATACCACCCCAAAATATGCATTAGGATTGTTGAAACTGAAAGCAGTCAAGAGAGTAGGAAATCTCTCTGGCCTCTCTCTAACTGCCTAAAAGCAACTCTTAAATTTACAGACAAAAATATCTCTCCTCCCCTCTCTACCTGGAAGGACAAAGGTTAACCACTGAAGACAACTAAAACCCTTATTGGGCTAGAGATGGCACGAGACAAATCTACATTAACAAGCTTTACTAATAAGTCTTTACCTGCTGTGTATTTGCTCTCTCAAGATTTGCTGCCCCTAGAGACTAAAATCTTTTGATTTGTCTTGTCACTGCTCTAAAAATTTACTATTTTGTCTAGAATTCAAAACCACCTCTTTGAGAATTATTCATTTCCTAGGTATCTCCCATGTAGATGTTAATAAACTTGTTTGGTTTTCTCTATTTAATCTGTCTTTTGTTAAAGGGGTTCATTCCAACTAAGAACTTGTGAGGATTGAAAAAAATTATTTTTCCTGCCCTACCACTCCAATGTAAAAAAGGTCAAAAGCATTTGTCCTAGAGCTGAAAGGGGAAAGTGACAGCTTTTTGCTATTTAGAATTCTGGTTTTTTTCCCATTAAGATGTTTCCTTATTGCTATCATTGTATCATTTACACAAATATGTAGTGGATATATGATCATCTTGATTTGTGTATTTATTCTAATCTTAATAATAAGTTTGTGGAACTAAATAATAATATAACAGCTGCTCTTTAATTTTGTAAACAATAAGATGCTAGGCAACCCACGCTGCTCTTATAAAATATTCGTTATATTAACATACCATAGAAATAATAACCACATCCATCTGCCCATATCTCACAACTCTTTGCAGAAGTAATACCATATTCTATACCAGTATATGATCATACTTAAGAGATTTATACAATTTGAGGGATTAATGCAACTACTTTGAAGATAGGGAAACTAAGGAACAGAAGAATTTGGGAAGTTAATCAAAGGCTAACCACAAATCAGAATGAATGTTCAACTCATTGATACTTACTCAACTCACAATCCGAATACATTTCAGATTTTGTGCCAGTTGTTCTTAGCTGTTAATACACAGTATAATTTTCCTGAGTAAAAGAAATATTACATTATGTTGATTCATCTTACAAAATGTTCCTTCTTCCTATTTGCTTAGGAGATTTTTACAAATTCTTATATACTCATTTATATACATGATGAATGACTTTCAGAAACAACATTGTAAACAGAATCTTTAATTTCAAGTGGTCAATTTACATGAAAAATAACAAAGTTGAAATTAAAGTGCAGTCTTACATATCTTAGCTTTTTTCTGCACTCAAAAGAATAATGACCCCTTTGGTAGGCTAATGCTGACATTGTTATGACTACAGGCTAACGAGCTTTATAAAATGACCAAAAAATAAATAAATGACTAATAAGAATCTGTTCCATGTGCAATACAATTCTAAGCCAGAGTTCTTTTCCATTACTTGGTCTATTGATTTTGTATTTTAAATAAGTGAGAACCAGAGCAAGGGCACTACTAATCTACCTTAAAAGCAGCACACTGTCATTTAAAAATAATATTATTCTAACAAGCATTCAGCCCATTTTAAGTTTGCCCCTTCACGTATGCTACACTAGTCAATTACAAGACTTCCTCTGTAAACACACAGGTCACCAGAGTTCTAAAAACTCAGAAAGTGATTGTTTCTTTGGCCATTTCCTGAACCCTAAGCAGTTACAAGCTTGAGATTATATTCCCCTTTGCCTTGATAGCTTCATCCTCCCGTCAATAAACTTATTCTGTAGACTATCTCCCATATTTTGTTTATTCCTTAAGAGCCTAAGTCATGAGAAATTTTGCAGAGGGGATTGTTTTTAACTTAAATTATTTAGGAATGTTTGGAAATACCATCTACTAATGGTTCACTAAATGATCTGCAAATTCAAGCCTCTGATTTCAATTTCTTCTTGATCAAAGCCACATTAATAAACTTTACTATTTTACTCTTCTCTAGTATGGTATTGCAGGTAAATTTTACTTTGCCCTTTACTGTGTTTTGGTTGGCTTACACAATGTTTTCATGAATCAAATCTATATAACAAAATCTGTTAAATTCACATAAAAGTCCAAATATCCAATTTCCCTAAAAAAAATGAAAAGTTGGCACACGTGGGCCTGAATTCCTATGCAATAATTCAGCTGAAGTGGATTAGAGATTACCCCTTTACAAGGCAGTGAGTCTTCAGTTGAACTTAATCCCTACCAACCTACTCTCAACCCCTGTCATATCCCTGTCATCAAGGTTTCTATCACCAGCCTAGGCAACAGGGTGAGACCTTGACTCTACAAAAATAAAAATAAAAATAAAAAAAATTAGCCGGCATGGTGCCACATGCCTGTAATCACAGCTACTTGGGAGGCTGAGGTTGAAGGATTGCCTGAGCTCAGGAGGTCAAGGCTATGGTGAACCGTGATCATGCCACTGCACTCCAGCCTGGGTGACAGACAGAGTAAGACTCTGACTTTAAAAAAAAATTCTTTTTTGAAAAAAAAAAGATTTCTATGAAACTCAGCTCACTTATATATAATTATGCTACCTGTGTGGTTTCATTTAAATTTCTGACCTCTTCTGATGAGTAGTTATCTGGCATCTGCTCTTCAGATATCTTCTGATAAAATGTTTTCTGTTTTGTTTCACTAGGATGTATTGCACATCAGATGAATTTTGGAGGAACAGTAAGAAATAACAGGTTACAAGTTCCTAACCTCAGGGAACTTAAGCCCCAGTAGCAGGGACCGAGATGCTCACAGAGATAATTCAAGGTGCTTAGCATTGAATCCTATTTAATGATTTAAAGCAAGATTTTCCAATAGAATTATAAGGCAAGTCAAACATCTGAGCCATATATGTAAGTTTTAATTTTCTAGTAGCCATATTGAAAATATTTTTTAATGTGAAATTAACTTGATAATATGTTTTATGTAAACCAATATAACCAAAATGTTGTCATTTTAACATGCAATCAATGTGGAAAACTACTTAATGAGATATTTGCATCCTGTTTTTTGTACTAAAACTTTGAAACTGGGTATTTAATTTATACTTGCAGAACATCTCAGTTTGGATCAGCAACATGCAAGTGGTCAAGAATCACACATGCCTAGTGGCTGCAGTATTGGGCAGCACAGGTCTAAAATGACAAGAAGGTCCTCATGGTGGCTCATACCTGAAATCCCAGCACTTTGGGAGGCAGAAGCAGAAGGCTCCACTTGAGGCCATCCTGGACAACATAAATAGGCCTTGTCTCTACAAAAAATAAGTAAATAAAGTGACAGGAAGCCCAGAGACGGTAGCAAATCATGTGACTAAAAAAAAAAAAAAAAAAAAAAAAAAATCAAGGAAGCCCTCATGGTGAAAGTTCCATTGGAAAATAAATAAGATGCTGATGAGTGGAGATAAACAGATTAGGATGCTGTTTACAATGGAGGGAAAGCAAAACAAAAAAAGGGACACAAATATTTGTGGAAGAGAGAACTCAGAGCAGGAGATATAACACAAGGGGAAAGGAGGGAGCTAAGACAGAAAGGGATGTTTGAACCAATTTAACAAAGATATTGTGCTGCTAAGGAGGTAAGATTTTATTCTCTGGGTAATGATGAGCCACCAAGACATTTTGAGCAAGAAAGTGTGTATTAGATATATGTTTAGGGTGGCTGGTATACAAATGCTGGACGAATGTAACTCAGATCAAGTGAGTCAGGTCTGAATTCATACCACTAGAGTTAGAATACCAGGATGGATGCTCCTGAAAGCTGATATCACCTCATTACAAAGAATGATTTTCTAAATTGTCAGAATGGCCCAAAGCATGACGTACTGGCCTAGGAGGTTGTAAATTCGACTTTGGGAAGCAGATGCCAGATAACTACTCATCAGGAATCAGGCAGAGTAGAGGAGCTCTTTTGTCCCCTGCAACACACAGATAGCACCCCTATGCTCAATTCCCTTTGAGCAAGCTGTAACTTCATGCCTTTCACTTCCATTCAAGACAGCATATTGGAATGCAAGGGAGAGAGACAGTGCTATTATTACCAAGATAACCTTGAGTCTGTTCTAATTTATTTTTTAAAAGAAAATAAATCACTCTCAACCTTTGTTGCTTTATTATTGGGAGGGGTAGAAGAAGAACATTTTATTCTCCTGGCAGCTGGTGTGAGAATTCCTCTTAGTGAGAGAACTGCCTTTGTTGGGAAAATGCTTTAGTAGGCCCACTTGGGATAGATGAGTCCTGCAAGGCAGGAATGTCACTTGAGACCCAGGATTTAGGGGAGAGGGTGAAACCACACAGTATGAGACAAGAAGAGAAATTCATTTGCTCTAAAAGAGAAGTAGAAGAAAACAAGATCAGGGTCGGGAGAAAAGAGGGAGCAGCTAGTGAAGTCACTGAGAGACTGAAGTCCTCAAATAATCAAGTTACAAACTCAGGAAATGCTTGGTGTGAGTGAATTTGGGGCAATAAGCCAGTAGAGGCACTGAATTTTGCATCCAGGTTGGCAAAGAACAAAACAAAACACTTGCAGATGCAAAACACTACAGTAGAGGACGTTACAAGAAAGCAGTCCCTAGGAATGCATAGAAATTATAGGAACACCGCGGACCGGGGTCGAAGTCAACTTAGAATTCCAAAAGGCAGGGTGACACCGCTGATCTCCTTGGTAACATGACACTGGTCTGCATTGCTCATAGCAATAGAATTCACATCTGTCTGGACTCCCAGGAACATCAGATGACCGTGATTAAAAACAGTCATTATAAAGGGTAGTCAGCACTAGACTTCGGATTGGCAGAGACCACCTCATGGACCCTCTCATCCCTAACTTGGCAAGACAACTGTTTTAAGTCACCACACCTCACATGCTCTAAACCACATAAGTTTTCTTCCTCCAGTGTTCCTCCATTCCTGGTACGAGGAGATGGTACTCCAATGTGTTTTCAGATTTGTAAAAAAATAATGCCATACCTCCTGAAGTGCCCATTTTAGTTGATCATAAATAATTGAAAATTTGGTTATTTTTAAGCATGGATAGATTTTAAAATTATTGTTAGACTATTATTACTTAGTATTAGATTGTTAAAATAGGCATTCAAGTTTAAGATAAAACCTGTAGGCTCCAAAGGAATGGCATGCATTGAATGTTCCATGCTTCATCACCAGAGCTCAGGGGTATATGTTTCTCTGTCCACTGCTGTAAGGATACTTCAGGAGACAAGTCTCTGAAGCCATGGTCTAAAAAGTCACACCGAGGGCTCACTAAAGCCAATGCTTAAGATCAATTGTCACTTGGCAGCTGTTTGCAAGTTGCCTTATGTTTTATTCCCCAGTTTCCAAGCAACCCTGAAGACCCACCTGGTCAGCAGCATAAATCAGCTTCATGATCATCATCACATGACATGTAAAGGCTCACACAAATGCAGTCATCTGTCTACAAGCTTCGTATGAAACTAGAAAAATACAGATGTTACCTGTTGTCTGCTGCTTTCAGCCTGGGTGCTACCATCTAGCTGTGGACTCACATTTACTAGAACATACAAGCACAGGCCCCTGAACCTTGGGGAGACTGAGTAAAGCAAAATTACACATAGGCTGATGTTGTGCTGCTGATTGTGTGATCTGTAGACTGGAATGATTCAGAGAAGAAAATCAGTCTAACATGGTAACCAACCCACAGGCTCTGGAAACAGACTCTACGGGTCTAAATTCTAGCTCTGCTACTTCTTAACAGTGTGACTCAGCAAATTATTTAAGGGCTCTGTTTCTCAGTTTTCAACATGTGAAGTGGAGGAACTAATCTGTAGAGTTTTGAGAAAAGTTTAATGAGATAATAGTTGTATTTATTCAAGTGCAAGGTGCAGAATAAATGCTCAGTAAAGGCCATCTTTCTCTTTCTTTCTCTTTCTCTTTAATTGAAAATGTGCGACAATACACAATTGTGTGTCCTAGGCATGGTGCAACAGATGAAGGCTACATACATGCGAATCAAAATGCTCTCAGACTATTTGTGTCCTGTAGTTCAAGGCAGGTTGTGATAAGCACTATAATAGAGCTAATAAAATACTAGGAGAATATTAACCTGAAGTCATGGATGGGTCTTATTCATCCTGGTACTTTTAGCATATTTTATCCAGTATCCAGCACAAAATCAAACCTCAATAAATAATCAGAGAAGAAACAAATGATTTATAGACCAGGGGAGGACAGAATTAAGAAAGGTTTCAGAGGAAGTCTTGGTAAGGCACATGTGATTTCAGAAGGATTTCAAAAAGGAATAAGAGGATGGAAGTTAAGGAGGACAAAAAAGAAATCATGGAAATGGGTAGAAAGCAGGACAAGGAGAGGCAGGCTTGTTACGCATCTACAGTCCTGCTGTCAAAAGAATTTCAAGTTTTCAAAAAATTATCCTTGACCCTATGGAGATTATGGCCTGACCTTAGCAAGGGTGAAAGTGGAAACCCATTTTCAAGCTATGTACATCCAAGAGAACCTCAGACACGTCCAAGGTCTGGACTTCCTGGAGATAATAGAAAACATGTTTCGTGTTCCTTTAGAAGAGCTGTCCCATTCTAGGCTCAAACCACCCAAACTATCAGGAATGCACTCCAGGTTTCATACTTTCTCTTGCGTCAGCAGCTTGCAATGATTGTCTTTTCCTTTTCCAGATTCCCCAAATCAGCCATCTCTCCTCCTCTCCCTGCTTGACCTACCTAACTCCCCTCTGCTGTAGAGGACTCAGTTCAGGTATGGCCTTCTCTGAAAAGCCTGACTTTCCCCCACAGTATCCAAATCTGGGGGAAGGACCCACCCATGCTATTTTGTTAGCAATCCACACTCATCCCAGTATTGCTGTATATTGCAATTGTCTGATTATTGGGTACCTTTCAGTATCCCACTGTAAGTTCCTCAAAGGCAGACACTACGTCTTATTTGTTGGTAAATGTTTGACCAATTAAGAACTGGGAAGAGCTGGGCTCGGTGTCTCAGCCTGTAATCCCGTGCCTTGGGAGGCTGAGGTGAGTGGATTGCCTGAGCCCATGGGTTCAAGAACTATCTGGGCAACTTGGCTAGACCTCATCTCTACAATCAAATAAAAAATTAGCCGGGCATGGTAGCGTGCGCCTGGAGTTCCAGCAACTTGGAAGGCTGAGGCGGAAGGATTGCCGGAGCCCAGCAGGTCGAGGCTGCGGTGGCCAGGAGCGGCCACTGCACTCCAGTCTGGGCGACAGAGAGAGACTCCAACTCAAAAAAAAAAAAAAAGAACTGGAAAGAAAGTTGAAATTCCCTTCAATCACAAAGTGTACAGATTGAATATACTATATATGTCATTTAGGCAAACTATGTAAACTATAAATGGCCTCTAGCTGAGGCCATTTATAAATTGACGAGTAATGTATAACTCAACCAGTGATTACCATTATCAGTTCAAATGCAGCTTCCCCTAGAACATGGGCTAAAAGTTCTAATGTGCCTCATCTTTCCCATTCATACGGTCTTACAGGATCCCAATTCCAGTCCCTCAAAAAAGTTTACTAGCACTCCTTCCTTCTATCCTTAAAAGAATAATTGACTGTTCACAAATCAGTTACCAGAGAGAGAAAATTTCAATTAAATATGTTGTGCTAGGATGTGAGGAAGCAGGCAACCTCATACACAGTTGGTGGAAAGATAACTTACTATCAA